TCTTGCCAAGCCGAAGTCTGAGATTTTAGGATTCATATCTTTATCCAGAAGAATATTGCTTGCTTTCAGATCCCTGTGAATTATTCTCAACCTTGAATCACGATGGAGGTAGAGAAGCCCGCTGGCAATTCCCGCTATGATGTCGAAACGCTTCTGCCAACTTAGAGTTGTATCCTTTGTTTGATCTAGGTAGATTGATCAAGGCATTCAAAAATTTAGCTCTGAAATCCTAAAATTGATTGTGGAGATGTAGATTAATTGTTGAGAGACTTACTGAAAATGAACAAGTCCAAACTCTTGTTGGGCATGTATTCGTAAACTAATATTCTCTCTTCTCCATGAATGCAGCAACCCAGTAGCTTAACTAGATTCCTATGCTGTAGTTTCTCGATCAAGATAACTTCATTCTTGAACTCTTTAAGGCCTTGTACAGAATCTTTGGAAAGTCTTTTAACTGCTATTTCTTTTCCCGTTGGGAGGACGCCCTGCGGGGAATGATGAAATTCAAAATCAGTCAACTGGCCATTAAGATATGTAATAAACAAATATTTTAATTCAAATAAAATAAATATATACTGATCAAAAACTACCTTGTAAACGGGCCCGAAACCACCTTGCCCAATTTTATTTGTAAATGAAAATTTATTAGTTGCAGTTGAAATTGTGACAAAACTGAATAAAGGTAACTCTAGAGTTTCATCTCCAATGCTTTGATTGATATCTTGGTTTGGATTATCACGTCGCGGATTGGCCTGATCTGCCAAAGCTGGCATTACTAACAAGGTGTCAGAACAGCAATTCACAGTAGATCTCAATAAAACTTAAATAACCTTTGTACATGTTCTTGCAATGTTTACTAGATTTAGTGCAAATTATGTCAATAATGTTCAATAGGGGCACTGAAACTAATGCATTCCAGATGTAAGTGGAAACGATCATATTAAGAAAAGAAAGAAAAAAAGAGAGAACTTGAAAATTCTGCACTTCTGTGTGACAATCAGAAAGCTGTATGCTGTTAATTTTCGTAACTGCTATAGTTAGAACTCTGGCTCTATACTAAGAAAGCCAGTGAGAGAGAAGTAATCAAATTGCAGATCAGAACTATCTTCTTGCGTAAAGTACCAAAACTTATCTGGCAAAATTACTTTTAAGGTTAAATTTTAGTCTGCAAAGGTCTTTATACAATCTTTTGATTCAAATTCTTCTGCAGAATCAAAGTTAAAGATGTAAATTAGGAACTCTGTATTAAAAGGTATTCTGCTCTCAAATGGCCTTTATCGTGTCACCTAAGAGAAAATCCATCACCCGGTCATAATATTTCACAATTATGTTAACAAATAGCTTTTCTTATTGATTTTTCTCCTTGATTGTGCCTATTTTATGTGATTTATAATTATCGGTAGTCACCATGCTCTTCCTAATGAATAGCAATTTCCAGACAGCTGAATTCTTGGCTAAACTCAATAGGCTCAGATTTCTAAGGATAATCTTAGCCTATTTCCTTAACAAAACCCGATTACTGGAAGAAAAAGAAAAAGAAAATGATGGCTTCAACCACGAAAAACTGTCCCAAGTCAAAGATCTTGAATAACGAACAATGAAGAAAAATCAGCTAATGCGGCATGCTATTGAAAAGATGATTATTTGGGTATAAATAATTACTGTTTGATAGCAACAGAGGCATTTTGTCAAACATTTCAAGAGCATCAAATGAATAAAAAATGGGTCAAAAGAACATTAATTTTATAATGTGGTGGATATGCTCACCTCTTCTAAGGTTAGCAGTCTTCTTACGGTAAGCAAACCAACTGATTACACCCAGCAGAACAAGGAAGGAAATCCCAGCCACTGATGCTAGCACGACGGTTCTCTTAGATTTGTTGCTCGAATCTTTGGATCACCCGAAAATAAGTTCAGAGCATGTTTGATTATATTTAAATTACTTTACAAGAAAAGTAACTTTTTGTTGAAATCGTTATTAGTAGAACACTTTTGAACTTTTAGACAAGACGGTTCAATAAATTAAAACTTACTGAGTTCTGAAGCAGGCATCCGAACGTACAGGTCCTGCCCACCTTCTGAATACTTTCTGATGTCAAGCAAGTCCCCAAACCATTCCAGACATCCACTGAATTGTGTCATAGCATAAGCCACGCACGAACAATTTCTCGAACAAGTAGCCTCGCATTCGAACAGATTTTTTGCACTTATATTCACTGAAAAATTCGTAGGGTCGGGCAATTTTAGTCCCGAAAACTTTCTGAATCCGCTACTGGTACTACAGTTCAACGGCGTCCTCCTAATGCATCCAGCTGATCGATCAAACTGTGCCCAAGCTTCTCGCTCCCTGGGCACAAACCTAGATAGGCAATCACAACTTAGTGAATTAGAAAAGGTACAAACCCCGAAATTACCACAGCTTGCATAATTATCACAAGAATCTGATTGCATTGTGGCTATGTTATTCCAGTGGTCCTGGCTCCATGTGAGGTGCTG